TGGCGGTGCCGTCCGGCTCGTGGAGCCGCCTGCCGGCGGCCCGGCCCTGGCGGAGCAGGGGCTGCGGAGCAAGCAGAGAGCAGGGCAGCGGGTGCCTTGCGGCCCGGCCCAGCCCGCGGCGCTGCTGCCAGCACCAAGAGCAGCCGCAGGGGCTGCCAACGAAGGGGCCCCGCTGCGCCTGCCTCCCAGGAGGGCCTTGACATCGCCCTCCGGCTAACTCACACCCGGGAGGGTCACACATCCGGATAAAGATGTTTTTGGATTTCTTAGCTCTGTTTTTTAAGGCCATAAAGCCTTTGAGTAGTGTGAAAGTTCCAGACAACTGCAAGACGGCTCTTGTTTTGCCATTGCTTTCAAGGCTAAGCTGACAAATCCTGTGATTACAGGCTTGTCAGATTGACATCCGCCTCAGTTAAACGAGAGAATGGCTGATTAAGCCTTGATTATTAAAGACTCAAGGGTAATATATTAATGATGTCAGAGAAGACACCAGCGAGAGCGCAGGCTCTTCCCGGCATCCCGGGAAGCGGCGCAGGACTCCGGGAGAGGCGCGCGCGCTACCTGCAGCCTCACCGCGGCCGAGCCCACGAGCAGCAGGGAGTCGCCGTCCCACACGTCCAGGTGGAGGCTGCGCTCCGCCAGGTACCGCACGAAGCAGCGCCGCTCTCCAGGCCGCAGGAACGCCGCGTCCACCACGTACCTCAGCTGCAGCCCCGGGGAGCCTGCGGGGAGCAGCGCAGCGTGAGCAGCAGGCACGGCACGCATGGCACGGCACGGCATGCGTGGCATGGCACGAAGGCGTGGCACGGCACGGCACGCACGGCACATGTGGCACGCACAGCACGGCACACATGGCATGGCACGGCACAGCATGGCACAGCACATGTGGCACGCACACACGGCACGTACACACGGCACTCATGGCATGGCACGGCATAGCACATGTGGCACACACGGCATGGCACAGCACGTGGCACGCACAGCACGCCACGTGTGGCACGGCACGGCACGTGGCACGCGTGGCACGGCACGCGTGGCACGGCACACGTGGCACAGCACATATAGCACGTGTGCCATGGCACACATGGCGCGGCACGCACACATGGCACGCACAGCATGGCACAGCACATGTGGCACGCACGCATGATGCGGCACGCACTCGGCACGTGCCCCCCATGGCACGGCGCCCTGGCCACACGTGCTGCACCCATGGCAGACTCCTCCTCACAGCGGGAGCTCGGATCTTCCTACGGAGCAACCTGCCACGGGCAGCTGGGAGCAGGCGCTGCCGCAGCCACAGCGGCACCTCCGGGAGCACCAAGGCCGGTGTCATCCCGGGCGGGCGCCGTTCCCATCTACCCATCCTGCCGTCCCGCTGGCAGGCTACAGGACCAAGCAGGGAGGGACACCTACTCATAGACATGCTCGGATTGTATGGACCTCTCTCCTGTTTCCAGTAATAACTCCACATGGAGAAGGAATGTTATCAACTGAAAATGCTCTGCAAGAGATGCTATATTGGCTTTGTGCTCTTGGGACAAGAATTTAATAAGACAGAAAGGAAAAAAAAAAAGCATATTGCTGGGAGAATCAGATTAGATTACTCCAGGCAGTTTGCTTTAATGTGTTGCATGTCTTAAATACACCCAGCTACCACCGGAGTCAGCAGTCTAGATGTCTGAATCATGACACCAATGCATATTGATGTTTTACTTTATGGTTTGACATTTTGAATGTTTTAATTATATGCCACAAACTAATGGAAGGCTGCTATTAAAGCAGACGATAGCAGTCCGTTCCCCGACCTGGAGACAAGCCGAAGCCTGATGGACCGAGAAAGCACTTGGAATACTTTCCGTTGCTTGAACTTCCCAGGAGGGCTCCCTCATAGAGCAACACAACAGCATAGCACACAAAACAACCACACAAAACAAGTTTACTGATGAACGGCATGAAAGACTCAAAACAGCAATAAAATTTCAGTATTAATGTGCTTGTAAGCCCTGGGGGAAGGCCTAGCGAAGAGTGAAAATTCTCTGCTTTACACATAAAGTAGGTCGCCGGCCTCCGAACCGGGCCGGCCTCCGAACCGGGCCGGCCTCCCTCTGGGGTCGGCAGCAGCCATGTGAGGGGGCAGCGGGG